TCAGCGAATGGCCCAAACTGTTGGACACACGACGAATTTGGAATTGAGATATATTGTTATGGCCGAGTGCATATGTGCGAACCACCGTTCCGTTTTTTTTTTTTTTTTAAAGTTTACAATCGAATCACCATCAAACCACCGCGACACCAGGGTACAAGTACCCCCACACCCTTAGGAGCACCGCGCCCGATACGACTACAACATGGGCCAATTACCTTGCCAACTGGATGGCATCGTATCCGACAAGTGAATCTGGAATCCGACATCGATGCGCCGACTCGGACAATGAAGGGCGTACCAACATGCATCCGAATCCAATTTCTACGGATATTTACCGGGTGCCTGACAACATTGGAAGCGACGCAACGACGGACCACCGAGACGAACCCGAATGCAACCGATGTCTGGGTGCAATTGGAACTGTTGCCCCGCGCGCTCTTGCATGGAACCCGGCACGGAGGGAAGGCAGGTGAACGAGACTTAAAGCATCGCATCGCTCTGTTCGATCGCTGGGATTGGGACCGCCTTTTGCAGACAGCAACAGCCACAGCAGGACAGCAACGGAAGCACAAAGATGATAATGAGCAAACTCGCATTGCAAATGCGATGGGGCTCATTAACAAGGGGGAACTTAGTCATGCGGCACGCAATCTTACCTCGCCAGGTCTGGCCCCAGGGACAGCAGCTACATTTGCAGAGCTGCCCGTCCCATCTTTACGACCACCGCGACCTCCCGAACCGCCGCCAGATGGATTCAGCACGTTTACGCCTATACACCTGTGGTTTTGGACCGCGATGCATTTGCTGCAGCACTGCGACAATCCAGGAAAGGGCTCAGCGCTGGTTTATGGGGGGTGGCGATACGAATATTTCAAAAGTTGCTTTGAAGATGATCGTAATTGCGATGCCCTGCGCCACGTAGCCGAGCGACTCGCTCGGGCAGACATCCCGGATCTAATGCGACGCGCAATGAAAATCGCCGCGATAACCGTTTTGAGAGAAGAGGAGAAGAGGAGGAGAAAAGAAACATAAGAAAAAGAGAAGAAACATAGGATCCGGGGCATTGCGTCTGGAGGCACCTTTCGAAGATTGGTTTCCAAAACTTTGGCCCGACAGTCCTGGGAGGACTTACGGGGCGCAGTATGGCCACATAATTATGGGCTCTCTAATCGAACTGGCACGGACGCTGCCGTTCATTTTTTGCGGTTCGCAACCGACAATTTTCCCCAGAAGGTTGTGGTAAGCATCGGCGGTGTCGGGGCTTTCGACCACGTCTGCCGGACACGCGCGCTCGAAGAACTCCAACGACACCCATCGCTCCATCACATCACGCCATTTATTCGGCAATGGCACGGGGACGCATCTCAGGTCAAGTGGGAAGATGGCGCGGGCAACGTACAGAATGTATACCAAGGGGACGGGGGAGAACAAGGAGACGCTTTCACGCCAGCGCCGTTCTGCATGGCCCTACACCCGGCATTGATGCATATTCGTGAACGTCTACCTCCAGGGGCCGAGGTATTAGCGTATTTGGACGATGCGCATTGAATATGCGACCCAGATGAAGTGTCATTCGTATTACAACTCACAGAGCAAACGCTACGGCATTTATGTCAGATTGGTACTAGCATTGGTAAACTTGCTAGCTGGGGGAAAACGTTTGCACCATGCCCCCAGAATCTGATGGGCCCACAATCGCTGGCATGGAGATGCAACAAACTTTTGGAAGAGAGGGGGATCAAAATCTTGAGGGGATGGGGGGGGGGGCGCCATTTGGCACGGCAGAATACACTAATACTTTCTAGGCTACCATGGTTGATGAGAGGGCGAGGCTGCTCAACACGCTTACTAAACTCCCCTCCCGCCAGGCGTCGTGGCTTCTATTGCATTGTTGCGCGGTTCCAAGGATGTTTCTCCTGCTCCGTACTTTTCCTCCAGATGCTGTAGAACCACTCGCCTCTACACACGATGCTAGCATATCATCGGCATTCCGACAGATTTTTACAATACTAATTGAAGAGGATTGGGATCAGAACCTGCATGGTGTGTCATATCCTGCGTGGGTGGCGCAGGATCGACTACCGCTGCGCCTGTCTGGCATGGGTCTCCAGGACTCGGCGCGCACGGCGAGAGCTGCATACTGGGCCAGCTGCGCTGATGCTACGCCAGGAATTATCGCGCGTTTCCCTGCCTTGGGACGTCAAGCACTTGACTACATCAAAACAGTACAGACTACGGGGGGCCTCTCAATGGCACAAGCTCCGCATTGCGGGCGGCAGAAGCAGCGGGCAGATATTGCGACGCGGCTGGGTGGGCGGAGCGACCAACATGGGTGGATATCGCATCGGGCCTGAGACCACCACAACCAAATATGTTACACGTAGTTTTGGGCGAATGACAACATGGGTGGCAATATCATGCAACGTTCCACTTTGATAAAACAACGCATGCACAACTATTGCGTGACCTCGCGCTATCTAGCGTACATGCCAATGCCGTTTCTGCAGGCAAAGCCCGGGTATTTTCAACAATGGGGAGGTTTGTTTCTTTGGGTGATTGCTGGTATGCCCGGCTACAGATGTACTCAAAATTTCGGATTGTCACTTTGCGCGCGCAGTGCGACGGCGTTTAGGGATAGCATGTACGATCGACGGGCCCGACGTGCACGGTCACGGACGGTTGGCTAATGGAACGGGAGGGGGTTGGCAGGGACGACATACGGATCTAGTGGTTGCCTGGAGACAGGCATTCAGAGAAGCCGGAGGACAAGTCCCAGACAGAAACGTTGAGCGCCCCCTGAACACCACTAACATACCCGTCCGAGAAGGCTACATGCGCCGGGTCGATTTAGTGGTGACGTGCACAAATGCAAGTGGAGGTCTTCCGCTGTTTTGCGATGTCACGGCGGTGAGCCCTATTAGTGGGACAGGTCGGACACGAGGAGGGGCAAGTAACAGAGGCGGGGCGCTTTCGGAACGGGCGGAAACCGAGAACAACACAACCTACGCGGATGTCATTACGAGTGGGTTGGGGAGTCTCCTATGCTTAGGCGCTGAGGTACACGGCAAACTGGGGACGCAAAGTGCCGCCCCCGTTCCCACGTTAGCTCATGAGCGGACCCGGGATCTGCATAGCCGAATCCGTCGCGGGGCCGCGTTAGGTTTGCAGCATCGGTGGTGGGGTATCCTAGGCCTCGCTCTGCAGCGTGTTGTCGCTAGGTGTGCGATGGGGATCGGGAGGAGACCTTGCGTATACACCTGAAGAGCCTCCGTGCCTTCTCGCTGACTTGGAGGTGTTGTAGGCCCTCCCCTCTTCCTCCTCCTCCTCCTCCTCCTCATCCTCCTCCTCCTCCTCCGTAGCCATTTTGGCTCAAGGCCATGGCGCGCGGCGGCGTCCAAATGGATACCGCTGTGCCGCGGCCAGGAGTCGAGATTCCTTTGCAGCCACCCCCAGGGCGAGCTGCCGCCAAAGACTGGTCCACCTGGACCCACAGTTTTGCGCCCGCGAGGGCTCTCCATCGCAACGCATGGCGGCCGAGGAGGAGCGGCGCAGGGCTGGGCGCGCTGGTGGCGGCCACCGTGGTCCTGGCGCTGCTGACGGCCGCAGGAGGGCTGACAAAGGCAAGGAGCAGCCCCCTGCCGAGGACATACGCTCCGCCCCCCGCAGCACCAACGAGCGAGCTCCTGCGCGGAGACGTGCTCGGCGGGGCCATCCGCGCTCCGACGGCGAAGCGGATGCCTCGGGCTCTCCCGCCGGTGATCGCGCACGCCATGGCCCTGCTGGACTCGACCGCGCTGCGCAGGAGGAGCTCGCCGCCGCCATCGAGGCCGCGGCCACCTTTCCCACGCAGGAACGGCAGGGCATGCAGGTGGAGCAGACAACCACGGGCAATCCTCAAGCTGGACCTCATCGCGCTCAGGCCGACCCGTGGCAACGCCCAGGGGGGGACCCGTGGCATGAACGTGCTGCTCCTGCCGACGGTCACGCTGCTCCTCCTGCGGCGGGCACACCCATCGGCGGGATGGCCACCCCCGTGGACGCTGGCGACATGGACATGCAGGCCATGTTGCAGAGCTGCATTCGTCAAGCCACCGATGCGATCGCTGCCACTTCTATGGCGCAAGTTACGTCATGCCAGACACAGCTGGTGCGCATGTTCCAGACCCAGCAGGAGGCCGTCAACAGATCCCTCGCAGCGCAGACGCGCGACATCGCCTCCATCGGCCAGCGCGCCGACGCACTGGAGGCCGAACAGGCCGCCATGCGCAAGCAGATCGGCGACATCAACAAGGTTTTGGCCCTCGCGGAGAAAGAGCTGCCCCTCATGGACTTCCAAGAGTTGGAGGCTTGGGCCCGTCAGCCCAACCCGAGGATCTTCTCGATCGGGGCGCCGCAGTTGGTCGGTCCCGCTCAAGCGCTGCAAGGCCTCGAGGAGTGGATTCGCGCTGCCGGCCTCACCAATGACATGGTCCGCCTCGACCCCGCTGCCCCCTCCAAGCGCTTCAACGTCCTCGCGCAGGGTGGCGATGGAGTCGCACTACCCCGTGCCCAAGCTCTCGCACGGCAGCTACGGGACCCCGCTGGCAGGAACGGGTGGCGTGCTTTCTGCGCGCAGAGCGTCGGAGGTGGCACCGTCCCGCTGTGCATCTCGCCCGACAAGTCACCCCAGCAAGTGCGAATGGAGATCCAGTCGAGGAGGCTCTCGACCCTGCTGGCAGAAGCTCATCCTGATCTCTCTTTCAGTGCTCAGCGAGCACGGGGCATCATCACCTCCCAGGGCGTCAAGGTGGCCAGGCTCGAGATGGGCGAATCCCGTCACACCGACACGATCATCAGGTGGAACCCAGACATGGTGGCCAGGCTGCACATCGACAGGGAATCCATCAACATGCAGTTCAAGAAGGCCTTCTCCGTGGAGGACAATACCGAGTGGATTTAGCACACCGCTGTGGGCGCCTTGGCGCCCTCCTGGAGCACGACATGGCTTTCGTGGCCTTCACATGGTTGTGTGGAATGCCCGTGGCTTGCTCCACTCGGATGCGAGGCTGCGCAGACGCAAGCAGGCGCTGCTCGCATCGTACATGAAGGTCAATGCCATCATCGCGGTGCAAGAGGTCCACGGCTCCGAGGACGCGCTCAGGATCTTCCTCCAGGCGCAGCCGCAGAAGTACATGAGCTTCCTCTCCCCTGGCCCCTCTGCCGCCGTGGGTGGTGTCGCCTTTCTCGTCCCTCGCCACATCGATGAATGTCCAAGGGCGGAAGGACCCAGAGCCGAATCTCTGGGATGCAGGGGTGCTGCGCCGCGGGAGGGTTCCCATGCGTGCGCTGCGCCCCCTGCAGCATCCTTACCGACTCAAGATACCTGGTCAAGTTCACGTACCTCCGCGTCTTCATCGGCTGCAAGTCGCTCCGACACTCGGTCAAGTTCACGAAGCCCTCCTCCGACATCCATGGCTATGCCGTACTACACCCGGTCAAGCTCACGAAACGCCACTCCAGCCCGACCGTCCTACCGCTTCGTCTCAGCGGCGGCAGGCCGCGCGGCGCTCCTCACGATCACTGACAGCACGGGCAAGTACAGCATGCAGATCTTCAACATTCACAACTACGACCTCAAGCCACACGAGTTCTCTGCCATCCAGCGCACTTGGTCCAGTGGGTTGGCGTGGGCGCGCCGCGACTCATTACATCGCATCTTCCTGGGCGTCGGGGACTTCAACATAGCCTCTCGCCCGCCAGTCAGTCAACGGGCACCCGCTGACGCTACGGCGTGGCGCCTACGTCCTGACAATCGATGCCAACTACGACAACCTGCGTGGCGCCGCCTCTTCGCTGCTGCTATGGAGATTGAATCACAATGGCCGACTCACTACGACAAGTCCTGCAAGCAGCTGTCCACGATCGACCGCATCTTCTTGGGGATTGACGCGCACGCCATGCTGTCGGTCTCAACGATCCTGACCACCGCGAGGGATGCGATGGAGCTCTCCGAGGCTGGCATCAGCGACCACGCGCCCCTCGTCTTGCAGATCACTGCTGCTCGTCACGTCCCGCGAGACGAGCAGCTCATCCCGACTCACCTCTTCAACCACAGGAAGTACCCCGAGGCCTACTCGCTCATGCTGGCACACTGTTCCCTAGAGGGGGAAACGGCGGAAGGTCGCTGGAGAGCAGCGAAGCAGTGCATGAAGCTGGCTGCTCGACGCGTGCGGGATGAACAGCTGAGGACCAACTTCTCCCTCCTCGTCAAGGACACCACGGTCGAGACCTCGTGCATGGGCTTCAAATCGGCGGCGAGAGCCGTATGGCGACAGGACGCTGTCCTTGCAGGCAGGCTCCTCGACTCTTGCCCCGCCTTGGCGGCCCACCTCAGAGTTACCGACGGCACCGTGCACATTGTGGATACCAACAGCTTTGCCACTAATTTCGATGCCATCGCCGAGCGGGTGCACTCTATGAGAAGGAAGGTGGCGGAGGCCGCAGCTCGGACAGCCAACTTACGCGACAGTGCAGCCTGGCGGAGAGTTGAACGCAAGGCCGCCAGACACGCTCAGCTTTGGGTTCCGTGGCGGCGGCGCATGATCCTCTCAGGCTTGCGCGTGGACTCTGCGCCGTGTGCCGCCAGGGACTCGCAGGTGGCTCAGCACGTGGTCTCCGACCCCGCGGGCATGAAGACGATTGTGGCGAACTATTGGGGTGAGATCTTCGCGAAGGTGCCGAACTCTGAGCAGCTCAAGACACTGGACTCATTCTTGGACAAGCATGCACCGAGGAACCCCGTGGTGGAACTTCCTCAACCTGCCCTTCACAACCTTGAACGTGCGGTCAGCAGGGCGCCACCCAGCGCAGCGGGACCTGACCAGCTGACGTATGCTGCATGGCGCCGCAGCCCTGGAGCGCTGCAGCATCTCCACGGGCTCATGGAGGCCATCTTCAACGACGGAGTCGCCCCGCTCGACCTCAACTGGTCGATCTTCATCTGCGTCCCCAAGGGCACGGAGGAGGACGACGTCCCTGACTCATGCACGCGCACGGCATCCACGGTGCGCACCCTGTCCCTCAAGAACTGCGACGCCAAGCTGATTGCGGCATGCGCGGATAGAGGACTCCAACCTATTGCCACATCATCCACCTCACCCGAGCAGAAGGGCTTCACTGCTGGGCGGCGTTTCGTCGACCACATCCCATTCTTGGACGCGGAGTGCCGCAGGGAGGGCCTCCTTCCTGATGCAGCGCCCCGCCGCCCCATGTTCCTGTCGTTCGGCTTCCGCCAGGCCTTCCCCTCGCTCTTCAGGGAAGTCATCGAGAAGGTCCTCCCGCGCTACGGGGTCCCGCTGGGCTTTCGCAACGTGATCGTGGCGCTCTACAGCAACTGCCTCGCCTTCAGCTCTTTCCGAGCCGAGGGCACCAGTGCGGAGCTGGAGCCGCTGTTTGCGCTCATGTGCGGCATCATGCAAGGATGTCCGCTCTCTGGCACGGTCTGGTGCCTGGCCATGGATGCTCCCATCCGCGCCCTGTTGGCAGCGATCGCCGAGCATGGATCCCTCACGGCCTGCGCGGACGACCTCGGGATGCTGATCAAGAACGCGGTCGCCCTTCCGAGCATTGACCGCACCTTCGTTTCCATCGAGTTCGCCTTCAATCTGCAGCTGGCCTTGCACAAGTGCGTGCTGGTCCCGCTGTGGGAGGAGGTCACGGACGACACACTGCAGAACGTCAAGTCATTCCTTGCTGAGGAGGTCCCACGCTGGATTGGCTTCCGCATTGACTCTTCGGCCAAGTACCTAGGAACCCACCTGGGCCCTGGCGTCACGGACTTTGGCATTTGGAAGGCCGCGGCGGGGAAGTGGTGGTCCCGCTGCTGGGAGCTGGCGCGCACAGGCATGGCCACCAGCCTTGCTGCCCGCGCGCACAACATCAACGCGCTGCCGTGCCTGTCGTACCTGGCCCAGTTCTACTTCATCGTGCCCGCCATCTGGAAGGTCGAGTTCACCTCCCTGCACCGCTTGCTGCGCCTGCCACCATCGTCCATGCGCAAGGCGGACATCCTTTCGATGAGTGCGTGGTGTGGCTCACCGTCGCCGATTGGCCTCTTCCCATACACAATCGCCGCGACGATGCGTTCAGCGGAGAACACGGTGCGGGGTTGGGAAGCGCACCTTCGCCACCTACATGAAGCTGCTGTGGAACACGTCCCACTCACCGATGTGATCAAGGGCAAATGGTCCCCACCGTGGTGGCGAACGAGGAGGGCGATCGTGCAGAACTACGCCATGGTCTCGGACTCCTACGGCATGCTTGACATCCCCAGACCGTCGCTGGACTCGTTCACGATCCCGATCCCGAGCAGGTTCATCTTGAAGGCGAAGGCGGCGATGCTCCTGGAAGCGAAGAAGGCGGCCACTGCCACTCCCCCCAGGAAGCCCAAACGCCAAGCCACGGCGGCTGCTGTGCTCCGTGGCCTGCTGTACCCCGAGGACCTCGTCGCCATCATCCACCGGCGGCTGCGCAGATGGGGGGTCGAATGCACGCTGCCCGTGCTTCGTGAGAGATGGCCTCCGCTGCGCTGCAAGCTGACGGAGGTCCGCCCAGCATGGATGTGGTCGTGGATGCGTACGGCGGTCAATGGTTGGACGACTTCGCGCCGCATGAGCGCCGTCATCGACGCTCGCCAGTGCATCTTCGGCTGCGACGACCAGGACGCTCTCGAGCACTACATCCACTGCCCGAGCTTGAGGGCGATGGCCGCGGGCGAAGCTGGAGCCGACGCCATCGGCAATGGCCTGGAGCTCCTCGGCTTCGGGGACGAGCAGTACCACTCGAAGCGGTCCATCGTGGACTGCATCTTCACCATCGGCCTCATGTGCCAGTGCTACCACATCCAGAAGAACAGGATGGACGTGGGCCTGGCCGTGGGCGTCGACCAGCGGGCCTCCGTGAGGCTGGCCGCGCTCCATCGCATGCAGGCTTAGGCGTGGTTGAAGCCCAACCGGCCCGCCGAGCTTCGTGCCCTCCTCCTCCTCCTCCTCCTCCTCCTCCTATTCCTCCTCCTCCTCCTCCTCCTCTTCCTCCTCCTCCTCCTCCTCCTCCCCCTCCTCCTCCTCCTCCTCCTCCTCCTCCTCCTCCTCCTCCTCCTCCTCTCTCCTCCTCCTCCTCCTCCTCCTCCTCCTCCTCCTCCTCCTCCTCCTCCTCCTCCTCCTCCCTCCCTCCTCCTCCTCCTCCTCCTCCTCCTCCTCCTCCTCCTCCTCCTCCTCCTCCTCCTCCTCCTCCTCCTCCTCCTCCTCCTCCTCCTCCTCCTCCTCCTCCTCCTCCTCCTCCTCCTCCTCCTCCTCCTCCTCCTCCTCCTCCTCTCCTCCTCCTCCTCCTCCTCCTCCTCCTCCTCCTCCTCCTCCTCCTCCTCCTCCTTTGACGATGCTTAGCCGCTGGTTTTTCGAGCCACTTCACCTCTGGCGTCGTTTGGCTTGCCTGGCTTGCACTGCGGCGGCTGTGGGCTCGCTGCTGTTTTGCCGTGGAGAGGAGGAAAAGAAGAAAGAAAACAAAATGAGAAAAAAAAAAAAACACAAAAAAACGACTACTGTTCCTATCTCTCCGGACTCCGGCTCCCATTTCACCGACTCCGGCTCCCACCACCTGTCCGACTCCGGTTCCCATCTTTCCGACGTCTGTTCCTACCCCTGTTCCCGACGCCAGCGTGCATTCCACTTCGTCGGCCTCTCGACCCCAAGCTTCCGATTTTACCTTCCTTGTCGCGCCCGACGCTACCGAGTAGGAGGGCAACGAAAAGGTTTGCATTTCATCGGAGGCTGTTCGAGCATTCGGGCATACGGGCGGCCTGCACTACAGGAGTTCGCCCACCTGGCAGGAAAAACAGAAGTGGAAATGCTATATCGCATTGCGGGGGTGGAGCCGCCGATCCAGAGACCACCAGGGTTCGACGCTGGCCGTGGCAGTGTGCAAATGTAGCGATGGTTCAACACAAGCCGAGGCCATGCTTCCAAGCAGCGGCTGAACGGGCACTGTTGCTGGGCATGTACGACGCTACCACATGCATGGTCCATGTGGCGTCTTACACGCAGTATCTGCGACGGCTACACAAGTTGGCGCATGCGAAGGCTGCGATGTTCAAATTCGCGGTTCTACACGGGGTGTCCGATCCACTAGGTGCGAAATACCATACATTATTTAATCGCTTCGCTCATGCCGCCGGCCCTGGAGCCCTCTTTAGGGCCTCTTGGGGGCCTCTTGGGGACCTCTTGGGAGTCTCTTGGGGCTCCTTGGCGGCGTTTTGGAGGCCCCCAGGGCCTCTTGGGGGGCTCTTGCGGGTAGTCGATTGCGGCTCCCCCCTCGGAAGCCACGATCCTCGTGAGGGGTGTCGAAAAATACCCTCCCCTGGAGTGGTCTGGTGGCTTCTCCCGGGCTTCTCTCGGGACCTTGCCGGGGTACTTTTCGTCCGGGGGCCCCCAGGGGCCGCTCCGCGCGCGCGAACTAGAAATATCGTTAACAAGTTACAGGAGATCTTAGCACGCCTCTGGCCCGTTGGGCCGGCGAATTGCACCGCCTATCGCCACTGTTCGGAAGGGGGATTGGGGAGGCACGGAAACCGGGGCCAGACGGAGCATTTCTCGGCGGTGCTAACAAAATTCACCCGGATAGCACTGTGGGTGCCATTGTTGTCGATTTTGCGGGCTCCCATGTGGATGCCAGCGGCGGCATTTGCACGAATGCCGCCGCCAGCGATGGTTGCGCAGATCTCGGCGACTAGGCCGACACCAACATCACCGCCCCCGACTCCAGGGTTTCAGGCAAATACCTCCAATTTCAGTTTTGTAGTCTTTTCCGAACTCGGTTCCGCCAGCGCCGCTGTGACCCGCGGTTCCGGGGCCGGCCTGGGAGTGAGGAGGATAATCGGGAGAGGGCCGGAGCGGGGTGGAGGGCGGGGGGCGACGACTGCGGCAACGAGGAGGCGGAGGAGAAGAATGAAGGAATCGAGGTTCACAAGGGCCAGGAACGGAGACGACACGGACAAATTCAACCCAACTGGCGGGTGCCACGCCAAGTCCACGATCGAGACCGTCGCCGGGGCCTTGCTGTGGCATTCGTAGTTTCTGTTTTTTCTAGCTGCCTCATTGCCGAATCCGACTGGCGCGGGACCAAGTTTGGCAGGGCACGGTAACAGGAGTACGTTCTATCGCAATGTGTTGGGAACAATTTTGGTCAAGGTACCGGCACCTTCCCTTTAAGGCGGGGTTCCCGACTCCAGATCCGACCCCGGCTCCGGATGTGATGGGCAACTTGAACAGATTGTGGCATACCGTATATCCCCTTCGCATGGTATCCGTATTGGCGAAGCACGTAATCCAGGGCCTATATCACGTGATGAAGCCATATTCACATTACGTAATTAAGGAATTCTGGGACAGGAATGTCAGGCCTCGCGACCGGGAAGGCCGGCGATGCCAATTCCGACTACGACACTGTGATATAGGTGCTCCGATCGGTCCAGGTGCCACACATTGAGCTAGCGTGTTGTGCTAAGTGTATCTTCCGTAGTCGTGTTGGCACAAAGGGGTATTGTGCGCGGTGGAGGTGCTTCTATTAGCCCTGTCAGATTGTGTGCAACGCAAAAGGTGTCCTATCCTCTCTGTCCGCTGCGCGGGACCCCGCCATGTCCAACAGTTGGTAGCGGAGCCGTGGGGCCAGTACGCGGTGCGCCGGGACGGCGCGCTGACAAGGCTAGACGATCCGAGACTGTGGGCGATGCCCGCAGAAGGCGGGGATGAGGCAGCGACAGAGAGACCGCAAGACACTGCACGCGAGGGCGCACGTCAACAGTTTTTCCAGACAGCATCATCGGGTTCAGGAGAACCCGCAGCATCAGCAGTAGTGACGCAGGCGGCACAACAGATAGCAACGGAGCTCGGGAGTATTCTCAGGCAGCAGTTCGAGGTGCTGAGGGAACAGGCTCAGGGAGACTATCAGCGGAGGCCGCCAGCTGAATTAGAAGACCGACAGAAGGACGGCCTAGATAGAGAGAGCGATCCATGGGACCGCTCACGGCATCAGTGGAGATGGGAAGATACGAGAGATCAGAGCTGGTCGAGACAGGACTGGCAAGAAGATAGATGGAGTTCATGGGAGAACTACAATAAGACAGACACGCGCATGATCAGGGGCGACTTTTCGGATCCGCCCGAGTTTCCAGGCTGGGACAGATTCCGGTCGTGGAGAGACGAGCTGAGAAGATGGGCAGATTGCACCGACATCCCGGCCAGGAAGCACGCCGACAGGGTACTCAAGAACATGAAGTGGGAGCTCAAGGACTCGCTGGGCCACTTCCAGTCCAGCGACCTGGTGTGTGACGAGGGCCTGAACAACCTGCTGGCCCGGATGGCGGCGCTAGTGGGAGAGAAGGAAGGAGACGAAGAACGACGGGCATTGAGAGAATCGGTGTTCGAGTATGAACGCCACAAGTCGGAGACACTTACCCAGTTTGTAGAGCGACGCGCTCGGCAGTTTGCAGCTGCTGAACGCCATGGCATCGTGCTGCCCAGCAAGCTCAAAGGCATGCTGATGCAAGAGGGCAGCGCGCTGCCCGAGAACGGCATGTTGTCCCTGCGATCCATGACGCAGGCATCCCTCGAGGTCGACAGGATATCTCACGCATTGCGACAGCTGGACACCACATCATCGGAGAGACTCGTCGGCCCGTCAGCCCGATCGCGGACACACTATGCGACAGAGCACGAGGGGGGGCCCTTGACTGCGGCAACCCTGGACGACGACGACGAGGGGTTCGACTCGGACGAGGAGCAGGAGATCTACCTGGAGGTGGAGGACGCCGGCATCGACGAGGACCAGCTCGAGGTGTTCCTGGAGGCAGCCATCCAGAAGAAGAAGACCTTCCGCGAGAACAAGATGCTGAAGGCCGCCATCAAGAAGGATCGACAGTTCTTCGACTCGAAGCACGACCCGAAGCGAGAAGGAGGCCGACCACGTCGTAGAGAGAGGCTGTCGGTGGAGAAGCTGAAGCTCATCACGAAGTGTGCGAACTGTGGAGAGAAGGGGCACTGGAAGAAGGAGTGCCGCAACCCGTACAAGCCTCGCGAGAGCAACACCAAGAAGGTCACCATGTTCCACTACGGAGAGGACGGAGCCGGACTGTCGAGCTACCCATGCTGGCTGGTGCTCCTGTCCGTGAAGGCAGGGACGGCGCTGGTGGACAGCGCTGCAGCGCAGGCCGTCATGGGCATGCCGTCCCTGTGCCAGCTGGAGCAGCACCTCCTCGGGCTCGGCCTCAGGACGGCGTGGGTGCCGCGCCAGGTCCCAGCTCCGACCGGGATCGGAGGGCGCGCCACCCTTGTCGGCGCTGTGCTTGTGCCTACAGCGCTTGCAGGGTCCCGTGGCGTGATCGAGTTTGTCGTCGTGGCAGAGGACATCCCTCCGCTGCTTCCTGGGGGCCTGCTGAAGGCCCTCGGAGCCGAGATCAGCTACGTGAACGAGGAGATCAAGTTCCAGTCCCTGAGCAGCGACCCGGTCAAGATGATCACCTACGGCGAGCATCGAGGCATTCCCCTGGTGTCCGCCCACAGCATGAAGGGATTCTCAGACCCGACGAGCACGCAGGACAGGTTTCCGTTCCTGAAGGCAGACGTGTTTTCGACCCAGGCGCCCTTGCCGGTCGAGTCTGCGAGTACTGAGCAGGCGCTGCAGCTCGGACCTGCCGAGCAGGAGTACCGGGCCATCCGGGCCCAGGGCGCAGCCGCGAGGGGATACACGTCTCCATCCCCCCCTCCCGCCTTCCACCAGGACCCAGGACCAGGGCGAGAGGAGGTCGAGGAGGTAGAGGAGGCCGAGGAGGTAGAGGAGGAGAAAGAAAGCAGAGGAGAGGAGTCAGGACGCACACCAGTCCAGCCAGAAGGTGATCCCTGGAGCTCTCCGTTGTTTCTGGAGCTCAAGCCATCCGGCGTTGCGA